CATGAAAACCAAACAGCAAGAAAGCATCTTCTGGCCCTCATGTTGGGAAATACCAAAAATTCACTTCAAATTACATTCTGGACTCATCTCTACAAGGCGATATAAACTGAAAAAACTGAAACAGTAATGTGACACCAGTAAAGATGAGCCTCTATTAATGAAAAAAGTTAATAATATGCATGGGTATCTACAACAAAAAGTCAATCAGAAAAACAAACACAGGGCTATTAACATGTATTTCACTTTCATGACTGTTTAAACTGTTCCAGACAGCTATACTATTTGGGTGGTGTTTTAAGAAAATAAGTTGCAATAACAACTTTTTGCATGCTAATCAACTTAAGCAGACCATTGCTATTCACAAAAAGAAAATAAACAGGCTTAATTTTCAAAATAAAAATAGCAATTGATTTATTAGGAAAACATCCAGCCACTGCCCTAGGATAGCTCATAGTAATTAAACTGTATTGTCACATGGATCACTTCACTGCACTCACCAATAATAAATATTTACTGATTAACAAACTCCTTTGGCTGCATGCGCATTAATGGTGACATTTTCAAAGGCAGCAGCAGCAGTTTAGAATGGCTGCTCTTTGGGCGGTACAAAGAGTGCACAGTGAAGGAAGGACCTCAGTGCTTCACAATCTCTCTTTACGTACCCGTTTGAGTACACACACCCTGACAGACACATACAAGGGCCTGACACACACTCAGCTGTGGAGGAAGGGATTTTAAAACCCCAAATTTGTCCCTAGAGGAAGCATAGTGTCCTTACCAAGTAACAGCATCCACAAAGTTTACAGATTAGTTTTTCTCTTTTCTACAGGAAAGCACATTTTTTTACACACTTTCACTGCTGTCTTTTATTGGAATTTGGGGTTTTAACCATTCTGCAAATTGTTACTGCACTGAATGTAAATATGTGTTTCTTTTCTTAGGTTTCTAATTTTTTTAACTGATAATTTCTCTCTTTAATATTTACTTTGACATCTTGAGGTTTACAACATCATTTACAGAGTCAGATGTTCTGATCATCTCTGCATTTTTTCATACAAAGACCAATGCATAAGCCACAACTCTCTTAAGTAACCTATAATACGATTTTCTTTCTTAAAGAGACTGACATATTTTGGAGTCCATTGGCTTAGGATTTAGAAACCCTGACACACATACTATGCTCCCTGAATTTCCAAAGTACATCTAATTTCACAAATGGCACAATGATAAAAAATACATCACTTCTGAGAGTGCTCGTGTGTACTCCATTTGGCAGCTTCTTGTTCTACCTTGTTGGGGCACACAAACAAAAAGAGTCCAAGCCATTTCTCACCTGTAAAAACTGGGAAAAATACATAAGAGAAAAGAAACAAAAAAGAAAAGAATGGTCACAGCAGCCAAATTTGTGCTTTTAGCTGCTCAACAAAAGGGTAATTTTAAGACAACCGGAGCTAAGGTTTAACAGGTTCAAAATGAAGTGAAAATTGTACTCTATTCACTGCAGGAAATGTAAGGAAGGAAATAAGCAAAGGCCATGAAAAGGAAGTGATGGCAAGAAAGGAAATAATAAGATAATGAAGAAAGAGTGCTACAGAATAGAATTAAAACCAAGCAGACCAAAGTCCTGGCATACACGTTGATTATAAAGGATTACAAAGTCCTGAGAAAATTGTTCTCAGAAACACTGTCTGCGTCAGAAAAGCCAAACTTACAATGCCACTCTCAGCCTGCTTTTGAAGTGATTGGTGTTCTTCAGCCAGGAAGATGGGGATATCTGGAGTAACTACAGGGAAAAGCTTGTCCCCAGATCACACTGGTAATTCTCACTGTCTTACATTGTCTGTGTTATGTGTGCTTTGGAAATTAATTACCCATATTGTTTAGATATAGCCACATGCTTCTTGTTCAGCTTTCATCATAGAAATCAAATTAAACAAAAGAAAAATTATTTATTAAAACCCAACAAAACAAAAGGATATTACACAGCCAATGTTCCAACTACCAAAAATAAATTTAAGAGCTGCCATTAGGTCCTTTCAGAAGCAAGTCCAACCACTGCCTTCTTTCTAGCATTACACAGTGCCATCAAAACCTCTTGTCAAGACACAGCAATAACTACCTTGAGCTCAGAATTTATGTCTGGTTTGGTTACTTTTATCCTGAAGTCTTTATCTCTTGTTTTCAGATGCATATTATGTTTAACTCATTTGTAATTCTTGAGCAACATAATGGTACACAAAACCCTTGAGGGGCTAACTTCCAACTGACATTCACAGAGGCAGTAAAGAAAGCAAATCAGGAATACGCCCAAGGTATGTGCTTCAGGGAACACTTATTCCATCAAATTTTTTAAGGTATTACATAAATGGAACAAACGACATTTGTATGAAACTAGAGATTTTTCTAGACACTACTAGGAAAATGCTAAAGGAGTCTGAATTATTACCATGGCTAGAACTCCAATTAGCTCTTTTCTTCTTTTTTTTTTATTTTAAGCTATTTGTTGTTATTTTTATCTACAAATACCACATAGACATTTATAAAAAACACTGATGAAACAAAAATCAAAAAAGGTCAAGTAACAGATATGCTTACTAAACAATTAGACAGAAATAAAAAGTAAGTTTTTGTATGTACTTACATATTTAAAATTCTGCCATAGATTCCTTACAGAATAAAAAAAACATTAATAGAAAACTCAGAGTGAAAGAACCTCTCTTTCACACTGCATTCATTTGCCAAGTATCATAAGACACCTTTAGGTAAAGTAGCACACTTTTTTCTGAGCAGTGCTGGTTTGAGGACAGACTCCATTCCTTTACCACAGAGTCTCTGTAACTGGTTTGTAACTGCAGCAAAATCTTTGGAAACCATGTGGCAAAAAGGAATGCATGGTCATACTAGTAGTGAGCTGCTTAAATATCATATGTTATGTTTAAATAGCACAAGTTACTTAAATATCCAAATGCATGTGCAGTAGGACTACTTGTACATAGGTTTCATTAAATCAGTAAGGAACCAACAAATAGTGGGACAAGAATATTCATTGCTATTAAAAGATTTATTCAGAAACTAAATAAAAGCATCATCATATAGACTAACTTAGAAGTGGTGGCAAACTGCATAACACACTCTGATTAAGTGTACACTCTCAGATTGTTACATTTCCACAGACATGCAAGCCATCCAATTTTCTTGACACGTATTTTTAATAGAAAATAGTTGCAGGTACTTGTAGATCTCACTTTTTTCATTCAGTACACCCAAATATTTACTTGACAAACACCTGTATCTAATCAGGAAACAAAGCTACTATACATTGAACCCTGAAAAAGTAAATTTATTCTAATTCCTATTATAAACACTGAGGAGAAAAGCCACAGCAAATTCATTCAATTACTTTAAAACAAGTAACTCCAAATTTAAAAATGTGCAAGAGGAAATTACAATGATCATACCTATCTTATGAGCAGAAAAAACATCTCAGTTATATAAGTAATTTACTCACTCTTTTAAAATAAATATTCATAATAATTCACGTCTGTTTTTTCATCACAGACATGATCAGAAGAATGTGCAAGTTGCTTCCCTGCCATCACTACTTTAATGTTTTACAGAATAGGTTTTCCAGATGTGGTATGAAAAGGACACAGATTACAGAATAACCTATTGGAAAATCCTTCATACCAGTGCATTAAAAAACCAAACCATTATTTTAAAATAAGCTTCAGGTTGTAAGGTGAAGTCGCTCTTATTTTTTGCTCTCCTGATAAAGACAACAGCTTTTCAACTTTTATTTATCACACTAGACAACAACTGTATTTACATATAATCCAGTTTGCTGAGCAGTATCACAACACTGTAGTATTAAAGTTACACATTTGTTAAAATATTTTTCTGAAAAATGTACCAACAGCATTTCATAAACATCCCTACTTCCTCAATAAAAGCAAGCTCAATAGCTTTTCAACACTTACAAAATTTTAACACATCAGAAAAATTTATTTACTGAAGGAGCCATCTACAGACACCAATCAATTCTACAGGGCCAAAAGGCTAATAAGCTTTTCAGTCTGATGTAAGTGCATTCCCTAAACCAACCAGTAGCATTGAAACATACAACTCCAATTCTTCCAATGACTGCTTTATATCTAAAAATACCACTACTGAGTGCTGCAATTACATTTCTCAGCTGGAGACATCTTTCTACATTATTTTCTTGAATGCATAAGATCCAGACTCAACAGTGTGCTAATCAACTGCACTAAACTGCAAATGTGATCTAATTAACTGGAAACCACTCAGATTTGATTGGTAGGGGCTTTTTTGTTTGCTTTTAAATCCAAGCATATCATAATCACCTTGTGTGACCTCCATAGAAAACAGTAACGAAAAGGACAAGATATTCAGAGAGAAAAAAACCAACCCCATAATTAGAAAATATGCTTAGGTCCTGACAACATGTACTTACTCTCACAAGAGCATGTTTGCCCAGTAATTTCTTATGGATTCTGACATAAGTACATCTAGTCATAAATCTGCTCAAAGGTAAGAATCACCTACAGTGTGTATTTTGGTCACACAACCCTAACCATTTGAACCATGCCTTACAGTTGAACTGGAGAGCAGCTCCTAGCCCTCAATTTAGTCTGGTGAAAAAAACAATTCTGAGACTCCCAAAAAGTTTGGAAAGGTTATCACACATTATATGTGGCCTTATTCCAGTTGGGCGTGTTCTGTCATTGGGTGTGCTCTGTCATTAGGGCAGGTTAGAAAATTCTTCTTAGACTAGCAACATCTGTTAGGCCAAGTCTCCTTTTATGCCTCCTCTAAAATTCTTAACATTTAACAGATCTTGTAGGAAAGGAAGATGAACAGAGCAAGTCACCTCATGACTAATCTTGTCACTAACTGGTTTTTTTTCTGTCTCCTATGGAAAGTATTCATTACAAGATATAAGCTACTCAGCTGAACATATGCTGTATCTTTCTTTTACTCACCTACGCAGTTATCACAAAGGCTGCAATGTGAGGCACGAGGTGGGCGGAAAATCTTGCAAGTAAAACAATATTTTAGTTTCACTGTCTGTCCATTGATGATCACTTCTTTTGTTCTGGGAGGGGGACGATATCCTCCTGAACTGCAGCCATTTGCTATATCTAAGAATGAAAATACAAGACATGAAATGTTGTACATGAGCTATGATGTATGCACAAAACTGTCCTCGACGGCAATCTATAGCAAATTTCAAATTCGTATTTACACATTTAAAATAAACAATTTTCCCCTTCTAATTCTTGAGTAATAAGCAGCAAAGAGACATTTCATTGCAAATAGCATCCAAAGCCAATCAACCTGCATCAAAGAAACCATCCAAACCCAAGTCTCAAACACTGACAATGACCTTGATCCCAGAATTCTTACAGTTTCATATCCCCAAATAGCTCTTAGATAACATATTAAAGACAACTATAACTACTCGTGTAGGACAGCAAAACTTGGAAGTTACCTTTAGAATCTTCCTAATTTTTTCAGAATTCCTGTAATAAAAAAAAATCTCCCTAGAAACGCTGCAGAAATTCTACAGCCTAGAAGAGAATCTGCATATTTACTTAAGCAACAGCAGCTCTGTCATCTGAATCTGGTGAATGTTGATATCTCTTGCATGCTGTGATACAACAGAGCACATTCACAAAAGTATCTTACAGCTTTTGCTGTTTAGAAGTTTGAACACCCAACTCCCAGTGTTACTTCTAGACACCTTCAAGTTTTTTTGTTGCACAAAACGGGTTCCCAACTACCTTGTTTGAGACAAGTAGTAGTGTTTTGGGTTTTGTTTCTAAGCTTCCCTTTATTTTTAGGATATTATCAATAATTTTTATAGCATCTAAAGGGCTGATTAGGCTAATAAAGTTCAATTTTGCCCAAGTTGAGCTTTACTCTGAAACTTCAACATGTAAAAATGGTGCCTTTTTCAAGGTCTATCTGTTCTTGTGTAATCACAATCAAATCAAACCAGAGAAGTGGAAAAGAAAACCCTAAATTTATTACACTTGGAAAACAGATCAGCTAAGACAATAGGGAAGTAAAATAAACTATTTTCCAATATATGAATGAAAATACATTTCAAAGTCACAGTCAAGTCACTTGAACAACTGCGTCTTAAGTTGTCCCATTTTCATGTGGGGCTTGTTACTAAAAGATCTATGACTTTATTTGAGCCCAAATTGTTAGAAATATCACCCACAATTTCAATTTCTGCCAATTACACAGCCTACAAATGATGTATTTTCCAAAAGGGCAACAAGAAAGTTTCCCACCTAGCAAGGCATTCAAACTGGCAACAGCACAGCTGTGCTAGCAAAGGTGCAATTATACAACATGCTGATTTGGCAGCAAATCCAGCTTAAGGAGTTCTCATCTGCAAAGTGCTCACCCATAAATATGATCCATAAATATGCATCAATAAATAAAAGTCCTTGTGGGACACCACTGTAAACTTGACCATTAAAACAACCAGACTTCAGAAAACTCTAATGGAGAAGAGGATGAAATGAAGGGAGCAATAGCTGAGATGGATGGAATCTAGATATAAAGCTCCTAAACATCCATTATGAGAATGAAGTGGTGAATACTAAAAAAGAGCAGCATAGAAGCAGCCTCCTACAGCCTAATGAGGTAAAGACATTCATTTGTGTTGGATATAAAGCAACTCCTGCAATGTGCTTGCAATGCCTAGCCAGGTCCTACAACCTGCACATGGAAGCATGGATTATTGTGTGGTTCCCATAACTAGCAGTTATACTGATTTTGACCTCAAGGCCAATACTACTTGACAAATATTTCTGATTAAGTAATGCTACCAGTGTATTTCAGCATATAAGCTGAAGAGATGTTCTTTGGAAGACACAGCACAACTGTGCTTATAGTATTTAAAGCACTAGAGAGACATGGATGTTAACTAAATCCAGAAGACAGGGAAGAATTTCTTCAAATTCACATTACACTAAGAAAGTAACGTGTAATGGTGACATTATAACCAATCAGCTTGTAATAGTCACAGTCCTTCTAGAAATCTTTGGACATTAGAAAACACAATGTTAGACCCATTTCTGACCATATTTTGGTCAAGATAAGACTTAAACTGTGAACATAAATACAGGTAATTAGCCCTTTGATTTTATTGAATAAAGCATTTAATACATGCTGGCATGGCATCTTCATTAAAAACCCAAATATTTTCATTTGATACTCACATTTAGGTGCGTAACCATAAAAAATACTGAATAAAGCCTGAATTTCATCTAGGTGTAGCTTTGTATGCTAGAAATACTGATGCATTGAATTTTCTAACATAACAGTAATATTTCAGATTTCTTTCTTTTACAAAATCTTATTATTCTTGAGTATGTACATAATAATTGAAAGAAAATTACTTAAACCAGTCAAGAGGAATTGTTTAGAGAGAATATGCTCTTTTTCCTACATAAACATTTATTTTGTAAGAGGCACATTGACTAAACCCAGTATTCCCCCTCCTTTCAAGAAGCTCATAAAGTGCACCACAATTATTTTAGATGGGCTCTGGCAGAATCTCAAAGGCAACTTCTGTCTTCTCTGGTGGAGAAGTGAGACTACTGTCCAGCCCATTTTATTTACACCAGTCTTCTAAGAGGATTTCCTTCCTAACATTTGCAGGGAAGTTCACAGAGACAGCAATTCCTAGCTCTCCAAGGCAAATTAATCTTGAAATCCAAGGGTGAAAGCTCATGCAAATGAAATAAGTGTAAACAGTCTTGCTGATTTTCCAGGGACTGAGAATTTTTCTCAAAATCCTAAATTGCATAATCAAACCTGAATGTTCCAGTCTTTCTGTTTACTAACAGCTTTTTCCTGGAAACAAGCTGCAGAGCAAGGTCAAATGTGCTTGGATTTAATACAATTTAACACAATCTAACCTAAATGTGCTAAACATGTCCTGGTCTCACTGTGAATTTTCAGATTGCAGTTTGTCTTTAATTCAACAGCTCATACTTGGGGTCTAACACAGTGAAATCTTCAATATGTGAGTTCTCTTTGAGGAACAGAAAGATGAACCTTAACAGAATCATCTTCCCCAAATAAACTGCGTTTGATCACTGCTACATTTGACTCATCCAACCTATTACTGATGTAGTAATGCAAGTTCTTTCAAAAAAAGGCTAAAATTTACCCACTAATGGGATTGCCATCCATCCTCTCTGTTCTGACACATTTTGGAACTTCTCTAGCAGGGTTAACTGTTCATGCACTAGATGGGGCTCCAGCATTTTTATTACCATAATTACAAAAACCCCATGCATGCAAATTCATGTCCTTGCAGGACCAAGAGACCTGAAATGCTCCAAGAAAGATACTCCAAGTATTTAATGGAGATACAGCACAACCTAGCAACCTCTCCTAATGGGACAACAAACTCCACTTGGATTTCTCAATTTATTATGCTACAAACAAATAAGTGGTGCTGACAAAAGACAGAAGTTGCAAGTTTGTATACATATCACTAGGACTCTCCTGCTCAATCAAGAGTTGGATTTTTGGCCAATGTTCCTAAGAACTTGAGACAAACAGCCTTTAGAAGGCAGCCCTGCATTGTCTCTATACAAGCTTCATAACCATATCATGCAATGATTGTTGACAACTTTAAAAGGACACAATCTCAATCTTCAAACAAAATTATTTGAGAAGTCAGTAAACTGAAACAATTCTAATGTTTCCTGAGAACTAAACAAAAAGGTAATGAAAAGAATCTTTATGTATAACCCATAACATCTGAAAAATAAGAGAAAAAATTCTAACCAAAAACAAAACAAAGCCAGCCAACAGTGCAAATTGCTAAGAAATGTCTTCCTATTGTTTAACTGTTCAAATTTAAGGTACTTTTTTAACAACAGTGGGCTACAAGACAAAAGAGACCTTTATTTCTTGGAGGGAAGAGAACTTAAATAAAATACTCTTGTTTCAAGACAGTAATCTCAGGGACAAACAATACTGGGAACCTGGTTTAGACTGAAATCAGCAGCTGCTAACTGCATTCTTCACATAGTTTTTCATCAGATAGCCATCAAGAGATACAGAACACATACTGCTCCCAACTTTAAGGACTTGCTGACTTAGATTTTTCTGCAATAATGTATTATTTTCTTAAAAGTAGAGTTTCATGATCTTCTTGAAGCCTAAAACTTCATGTGAATGGTATGCTCATTCCCAGAAAGAAATATAATATTTAGTGATTTGCTGAGGGAAAGAAGCACAGACAGGAAGAGCTTTCTAAGAGTTACCTGACACACAAAGTAATTTCACTATATTTATTTTAAGCATGTTGTTTAAGGGTGCAGTATCAGGTACAACTATAAGACTAGGAAGCTGGTATCCTACTTTTGTAAAGAAAGCAAAACGTGCTAACTACAAACAGTATGTATTTGTTTAGGCCATGGCCAGTTCTATGAAATGCCTGTGCTGTGGCATGGATTTAATTTTATAAGCCTATAATGAAATCCAATTGTGCATTTCAAAACAAAAGAAAGATAGGCAAGGAATTCTGAAGGAGTCTCAAATGTGGTCTTGAGCATCAGCGTAAATTAGCCAATTTGCAGAGATAGTGTGCCGCTGTAGCTCATACATTGAATTCAGGGCTTGGAAAACACAAAGGCAAGCAAGCAGAAGCTGTCCTGAGAACTGGCCTGAACTAATCAAACAGATTAAATGAGGAAGATACATATAACTTATGACAGCCTGAAGAAAAATTCACAGCATTTTAAGGCTGGAAGGATAAATTACCATGACCATCTTTTCAATTATCTGCATCACCTATCCAATGCAAACAAGATTGATATTGTGAAAGAATTGTTAAACTTGTATACATCAACTGGACAAATGCTTTCCTGCTTACAAAACCCATTCTCCTAGATTGGGTTATCCTTCTAAGCCTTCATACTCAGAAGTTCACAATTTTTCCACTTGAAGTGACTTAACACTGACTTAACTCCAAGAAAGACATGTAACTGCTAAGAGGCTACAAAATAAGGCTGCTCTTAGTATTTTTGTTTCCACAGAAGAAAAACCCCCTCTCAATATAATATTTTGTGTGATTGCAGAAGCCATGCTTATATGTATCATGAGAATAATGCAATTACAGCTAGGGTACCCTGGAAAAACTTCTTTTCAATTTTAATGGAAGTTATAATTGAAGTAGAAATACTACACATCAGTACATTTAATGTTGCATTTAAAGAAAAAAAAAAAATCCTGCTGCATTTCAGTGAAATTATAGCACTTTTATAGCAAATAAAGTTACCCTCAGTGATTTTTACATTATATAAGCCTCATACATCTAGTTGCTGTTGTTCTATTATGTTATATGAAAACCCCAGCAAACTGGAGTGTTTTAAGACTTTTGCTTCTCCTCTCTCTTAGGCCAAATGCACATATGTAATAAATATTCTTACAGGACCTGTTTTTCAAACTTCTCTGTTTAGCTGCCTTCCTCTTGATTTTTTACATATGTTGTAGAAAACCAGACAGTGAACTGAGCCCTCATCACCACCGGGTATCTCAGAATGTCACTTCTTCTGGCTCATGTAACCACTCCTCTTCTAACATGCCCCAAAAAGGATTCCTCCTTTTTGTCATAGCACAGTGCTAACCCAATCTGTTTGGAAATAACACTCAAGTCTCTTCTTCCTGCACTATTCACCATTTAGACCCCTTTCCATTAGTATTTGGTTTCCACTTGTATTCTTGCATTTTGTGGTTTTTCCCTAACGTTGCTCAAGCTATTTAAAATACATTTAAAAAAAATCAAACCCAGTGATTGCAGATTTCTCCATCTCAGCACCAACTTCAGAGTTAAGCATATTCCTCATGAGCCCACAATCAGTCTCTGAAAGGTCCTATTTGAGCACTTAGCATTTGCTGCTAGAGTGTCTTTTTAAAAAGGTACTTGCTGACTTTGTGGCAATTTCATCTAGAACTTATTTCCAAAACTGATACAGAAAGAATCCTATGCAGGACACCATCAAGAGCTTAATTAGAGTGAAAAATTAAGCAGATCTTCTGCTTTCCCACCAAGACAGTTACTCTTTCAATGAAGGATATCAGATTGCTTACACTCAATTTTCTCTTGAAATTCTTTGTTGCTTGTTTTGAGACTTAAATAGCCACAAGCCCCAACCCTCTGACAGTCACAATTCTTATAATTTGATCATGTACCATGTCTTCCCAGACAGAGAATAGTTTCTGATGACAGAATTGACAGATTTCTATTAAAGCAGAAGACTAGATAAACCAATAAAGATACAGGATAGTGGATTAACAGACTCTTAAACTACAACTACTTTCTTCTCTTTCTATCAGCTATCAAGAAGCATGCAAGTTATCTTCTGAGATCAAAGTAGTGTTGAATCCTACAGATTGTCCTCTGCTATTTCTCATTTCCCAATTACACAGCATGCCTTCAGCTTTTCTTTCTTCCTGTGACCTCTAACAGAGCCTGTCCTGCTGTCTTCTACTGCTCCTTGCTGATTGCAACTGACTTGATTTTCCTTTTGCCTTTCCCAATATGCTTGTGCCATCCTTTTATACTGACCTTTAGGAACTCTCTCCACTTCTGGCACTAGTATCTTTTTGACTACAATCAAATGCAGTCAAAATGGCCTCTTATTACACTTCCCAACTTTTCTCTGTATGAGGACAGCTTGATGATTTGCATTAAATATAGTATTTTTGAATAACAGAAGTTCCTTTTGCTATTTGGACAATTTTTTTTTCAGTTCTTTTCACTTTCTGTTTATCTATGAACACTGCAAATTCTCAAGAAATAACTGCTTTCCAGTCCTGCACACAGGGGGTGGAAATAGCAGCATCACAGCTCTGTTAGTTCCCCATTCTTCACCTGAAGAAGGCTGATAGCCTAGGTAGAAATATTTTGTGCTCTTAATATGACCACCCTATTCCTAGAAAGTCATCTGAAAGGACAAAGTACTGTCAAGCTTCTTTAGAAGGTCTTATTTTGAAAACCATTCTTCCTAATCAGCTCATCCTATTCTATGCTTTCTAAAGTAAAAAAATGAAGTTTTATGCATTTCAAGAGAACTTCAAAATAGCATTCTTAAATCACAATTCCTTGTCTTGGGACACAACTGTTTCTCAGTGCATCTGTAATAAATTCTGGTAGGTTGCTTCTCAAAGAGACCAGTAGGGCAGAGTAAGACTCAAGTATCTAAGAATGATTTCAATAAAGTAAAAGCTACAGATAGGACAAGTTACATTAACACATTTTTGCAAAGAAACTATTTGGTAAAGGCATTATTTTTAGGTGAGTTATCTGAAGAACAACCTTGTCTAAAATAAATTACTGTTAACTTTAGAAGACACCTCAAGTTACAAGGCACAGCAAGTTACAAGGCAATCCAGTCTGCATGAAAATTTTGGAAAATCTAGTCTTCTTTTCAGCTGCAGGAGCCATTCAGCTTTTCTTGCTGCACAGATACCATTCCACTAGGATACACCTTTTACAGGCACATAAAAAACCCCATACTGTAACAGTACAAAAATGTTTCTGTCCACTTCCATTGTTGAATCTGGAACCACAATTTTAGGGCAGAATGATTTCTTATAGCTACCTAGCTTGTTCCTCTATTACACTTGCCATAAGCCCTCATGCTTGGGGACTCCACATTTGCTGCCACTGTAATTCCTCACTTCCATATTCCACTGGCCTTTCTTGGAAGAGTACTGCCTTTGCTACTGCTGAAGAAAAGACATGGCTTTGATCAGCTCAGCAGCCTCAGCCTGTGAACAAGTATGCAATACCATTTAAAAATAATTCTAATTTTTAAACACAAGTTCTGAAATTGCTGCACACAGGAACATTTTGACTGTCCCCTCTAGGATATTCAATTTGTATTTTTAGTTTTGTATTTTGTCAGAACTCTGACAGATGCCAACATAAAATTATTCTTGTGAGCTGCTTATTTGAAATCATTTATTTCCTGACATAGATCAATGCTTCTGTGAACACAGGATAAATAAGCAATTCCTTGAACAGGAACCTGTACCTGTGTTTTGCACTAAAGGTGGTACCTTATTCTAAGTAAAGAATTCCTTGAAGGAGATCAATAAAAGTAAACCATAACACTGGTTACAAAAAGGTGCTAAATGAATGCTTCATTATATTTTTCCATATTTTTATGCACTTCTGAAATTCAGATAAATAGCAAACGTTTTAATACTTCTGTCATAAAAAGCCTAGAATTGCACTTATGGTATTAAACATCAAGGAGGCTGCAAGTATTTCTCTTGTGCTTGCACAGACCTGTTACCTGTCTTTTCAATTACATGAGTGAGCATTCCTCTGAAACTGCTTCAAAAAAATGGAACTTCCACTGACTATCATATCAAAGCAGATATAGTAGCATTTACTAAGGTTGAGTAGCTTACTAAGCTCACAAACCACTATTTATGAAGCAGTTCTGCAAACTCATCCTGTGTTCTCTTATCTCTTTAGCTTTTCAGCATATTTGTACCTGTAGAAGTCCCACTTACAGAATTTAGTTAACGATGCTCTTGCTAAGCAAGAATGGTTAAAATCCAGCTCTATACTTTAATTATGCTGGCTTTACTAAAAAAAAAGTAACATTTTTACTGTATGTTAACACAGAGACTTTTCTGACTCTTTTGCAGTATAAATAACATAATTAAATTCAGTTAAAATTCTGAAAATATATTGTTTTAAAAACGCACAATTGTAGATCTTGTCAAAAACACTTAAAAAATATTCTTATGTACCACAGAGAGATTTCTACCAGCTTTGCTGAGAAGTATTTACAGTAATAACTATCACTGTAAAAGGCCAGGGTTTTGTTTACTTTCTTGGTGAAGAACTGATCAATCATCTTTCCACAGGAATCACTGCAACGTCAGCAGACATTACAGCTGCAGAACAATCACTGTGGCAAGGGAGGAGTAACTCCTGCCAGGAGCAGAGCAGCACACTGCCTTCACACAGCACATGCACCCTCGGGAGGAAAGGAAGAGACAACAGACCTTCGGTGTTACCTATTTGTCTCTCTAGATCTGCTGCCTCATCTGGTGTTGCGCGGGGGAGGACACCAGGGTCACTGAAACTAGTGCGCAGCAGGGTCCCCATCACGAAAAAGAAAAGGATCCCACCAATTGCAGGAATAGCAGGGGTAATCTTCTCTGACAAATACGGGCAACTGGAAAAAGAAAAAGAGTCAACAATCAGCAACACATAATGCAACTTGCTCTCAAAAACTCTTTACCTCTATAAATGCATATGAAGAATTCACTTTCTTCTCTTGATGCATTACTTGCCATGGAATGTTTATTGAAGCTGAAATTTCTGTTTATGTGTTCTGCAATTTTTCATAACATATTCAATGTAACAAAGGTACAAGTAGCATAATAATGACCTCACTATATGCAATACTCATTTACATAAGAAGATAAAATATTTTTATCTCAGCATAATAAGCTTATATATTTCTTCACCTGCTGCCCAATTACATAAAAGTAAATTGGGCAGAGAGAGAAAAGGGGAAATAACCAGAATAAGCCCATAACATGAAGAAATAAGCCATACTGAAATACATAATTAAGTCTATAAAATGGATTTATCATCCACCAGAAAGATGGTGCTTAAGTACATGGAACGCATTCCTCTAACAGTCTTGGTGTATATCAATATTTTAACATGTCTACTGATTTTCCTTCTTAACCCATTTCTGGTAAGTTAGTGAATTTTTTTACTCATTTACAAAGTAAGAAGAATGCAAATGACAGTTCAACACACCTGGGAGCAAACAATCCAGGGGCATGTCTATGGCAACATCAACAGCCCATGACCAGGGCAAAAATGGCTCTATGTTTACCAGATTTACAATATACATGCAGGGTTTAAGACTGGATTACAGTTTAAGCAAATTTTCCTCTGTGCTTCACATATGATTAAATCAAAATGGACAGAAAGGCTGGAATCCAACCAATACACAAATATAAGTATCTCTTTACAGCTCTGCAAAAAGAAGGGATATGAACACTTGGACACTACAGAAGCACTGCAGCACCATCTTAGAAAACACACAGGCTGAAGACTCTCTTCATAGCTCTTACATTAAGTAGGTGTGGGTAGAATACCAAAATGGCTTCATGTACTTCTGGATGTCTGCATAAGAAGTCATAAAATGAGCCAAAATACAGAAATCAAAAACCAACAAGTTCTAGACCTTAGGGCTTCATCTAAAGTTTCTTCATCAAGTTTAATTAACATTAGATTCCCTATTTCTGCTGACTGCCTGAAATGATGATTCAGACGTGCAAGCTTTTGCACTGCAAATCGGTTAACCTCAGTGGAATGTTAACTCTAAGCAAGTGATGACAATGTCAGCTCCACTGTCCATCACTTCTGCAACAGGATGGGGAGAGAGTGGAGACACTTTTCATACCAGCTGCCATGTACAAAGCATTTATCTCCCTGCATAACCCTATTAAAAATACTTGGCTGCTTCACCAAACCTAGAGGGTTTCATGGATGCAGTGAGTCCACATGCATGACATGGTGTACACCATAAAAGTGGAAATCATCTCTCCCTACATTAATGCAATACTACAGGTGCAACAAGTCACAAAAGAATAAAAAGATACCTGGTTATTAAAAAATGATGAGGCCCAAGAAATACTGGGGTTTCACATAACAAATAGACCACTGAAATGCTAGGAAACATCCTTCAAATGTATGCTTTTAGGAAAATCTTCAAAGGCCCAGACTTATTAAATCAGTGCTAGCTAAAGGAAGCAGCAGCAAAATGTAAGCCTTGGTAGCTATAAGCCTTGCTCCTCTCATGTCAGGAAAAGCCAGTCAGAACAAACAGCCAAAGAGAAGCTTTCACACTGCATGAATGTCCTACTGCTCAATTTATTTCTCAATAAATTTCTCAATTTATTTATTTCTTTTTCCACAAAAGACTACTGAAATCAAAACCACTGTAATGTGCTCAGAGAAGAGTACAAATAGGCTGCAAGAACATATTTTTAAAAGGATTAGAGGGAATGTGTACATTAATGAACTCTAAATATAGCACAGTTCTCTCACGGTTCTATTGCATTATTCATTACATGTACTCAAGAAATTGCAACTGTGCTGAAGTCTGTTGACCAAACAAGAGCTCTATGTGTGTGAAAGGTAACATGAGACTCTCAGGGCAGCACAGAACTATTTCGACACTTGCCAACACAAAACCAGCAATGGCATTACATACACAAATTCTCACTGATGCTCACAGGATAGAAACTAAGGGCCATGACTCTAACATGTTTCCTTTTAACAGTAATTTCACATGAAATTGGTAGAAAGAAAAAATTGATGTGCTAAAACACTAAGAAAGCCCAACATTGCTGAAAAGCAATGTTTGCAGTACAGTAAAAATGCATGGAAAAATCTGTCTCTGCCTTGCTGAACCAAGTCCACCTGCAGTGAAAAAATCTCCACTCTCAAAGCCCTGTACAATCTTCACAACAAGCATGAGGTAATCTGCTTGGCCTAAAGTTGCTTTTAAAGTTTAACAACATATATTTTACCACCTTTGACTTGAAATTAATTCAGCAATAATGCAGAAAAGACTGAAGATGGCATCTAATAACCAAGTCACGTTCCACCAATTAAAAAATTATTTCAAGCTGAGAAACCAGTTTCTTACAGCAGCTTCTTACAGAGATTCAGACATTAAGTCTGGGCAGGACCATTTAATACAGTCTGATTTATATATAATATATATATATATATATATATATAATCATATAATATTACATGAGCTCGCAGAGAGCTCTATGACATCTCTCCTTTAAAAACATCCAATTAATTTTTGAAATACTTGTGAGATAAATCTAAAAAAACCAAACCAAACAAAAACCAGCAGATACCATTAGACCTTTTTTCTTTATATTTGTTAAAAAAAAGGGGAAAATCTTACTTCTCCTGAGTTATTAAAAAAATCTATTAAATGTGCCTTCAAATTAAAAACATGGATCTTAGCTCAAAAGTGTGAAAAAATCTGTAGAAATACACTTGCATATTTATATATTTTATATTTGCATGCTTATATAACAAATGTATTTGTACTGCTGCATTAAGTCAATATTATGTTAAACACTTCTAGTGTTACTACTTTTAGAATTGTTAAATACTGAACACAGAAAAAGATTATCCCTCATGTTTGCTCAGATTCCTTAATTAATTTAATTGAGGATGTATCCCTTCAGGCAGCAGCTTTCCTTGGATATTACAAGTATCTTTTTTGGAGGGTATTTTCAGTGACTTTTTAAAGCAAACACTAGTGAGTATTTCCTGACAGAAAATTTCAGAATTTTCCCTGCAGAGGGAATCCCTGTGCAGAGACCTGCCCACTGCCAGTAACACTTTGATAAACAGCAGAGAGCTCCAGGACAGATGTCTGTCCTACTGCAGAGCAAGCAGTGACAAACCTTTTCCAAGTGGCACTTGGTGATGACTAGATGTGAACTGACATCATCAGTGTACATCTTACACAGGGTAAAACAGTTGTTTTAAATCAGCATCTGTAAGGACAGCAAGTACTGACTAGGCCTATCCCAGAAAAGACATTTTTAGAAATTATTACTAGACCACTGACCCCACTAGAAACTGCTACTCTGAAAACAGCTTTTTCAGACAAGACTGTTTGGATCCACATACAGCAAACTGTAACATAAGTTGAAGTTTTGAATTAATTGAGAACTTTGATACTTTTAGCCTTGCTTTTTGCTTGGCTTCTCAGCTGCTTTTTTGAAGCATCATGTGAAAGTCTGCATGAGTGTAGGAGGGAAATAAAATCTGGTGGAAGACTAGTCTGTCACAGCTCGATAAAAATAAAAACACCCTGGCACAGAAGAGATAATTATCAAGCATCACCCCTGTGAACAAAGGATGCAGGGGAAGTACAAAAGCAACTCTTACCACCCAGCAGCCCTCCTAACTGTATGACCATACTCCCTGTGGCTAATGAGACCAGCAGAAAAATACTTCTGGAAACTGTGCTGAGGATCACAGTCAGAGTCCTACAACTTTCAAGCATTGTCATTAGAAAAGGGGAGGAAAGAAAAGAAGTCTCCTGAAGGCCTTTCCTGGAAAGATGTTGACTTTCCTGAAAGGTTCACTGACAGCTATTCACTGATGGGGAGACTCAGTAAATGACAAATCTATCCAGTACAGGTATCTGGAGAGGGGTTGAGCCTGCATTTAAAAAAGAAACCCAACAAACCAGGGTTTTATACATTGAAGATTTAAATTAATATTTGTTCAGTTGGCATGTGGAAAACAATAAAAATACAAATTTAATGCAAAGATTAAATAGCTATTGCACTTAATTACACTAATTAAAAAAGCCCTACAAGCTTGGCTTGCAAGACTGCTAAGAGGATACTTTATGTCAAGCCGTTCATCAATATAAAACTCTTCGTAGCAGATATAAAATTTATGTACTCTAGGAAAAAATATAAATATAGTTGAGATATGTAACATAAAGAAAGAAAATTATTGTTGCTTTTCCTACATCATCAACTCTGTTTCTGTTTCTGCACATACTGCCCGTTTAATACATCAGTGGCTACTGGCATGCAGGTGATGTCCAACAGAAGAGAGAAGGCTGGCACTGGGCACCCTGGGTTCAGCTCCACATGTTACAAGTTAACATCTGAATGAGACTGGGCTGCTTTCTTTAAACTAGCCCAAGGGGTTTGTTGTTTCTCCTTCCACTCTCATTTATGGCTCTTCTCAGCTTACCCTTCCTTTCAGCTCCACTGCATCATTGCTCCAAGCCACTGTCCCAAACTTCTGCCCTTATGCCAACACAAATCTTTGCCAGGCTCTTTTGTAAGCAAAGTTAGTTTACTAAAATGTGTGAAAATGACACCATTTTGTTGGTTTCTCTTTCTGTCTCTCTGACAAACCAAACATGCAAAAGGATATTAGCACAAAGCAAGGGAAAAAGAAGCACACACAAAACTACAGGAAAACAAAACTAGGAAAAATATAAATATAGTTGAGATATGTAACATAAAGAAAGAAAATTATTGTTGCTTTTCCTACATCATCAACTTTGTTTCTGGGAGAGGGAAATTTGGACAGTGGGGGGGAGAAGACCTCAGTTTCAGCAACTGTCAGTAAGGTTTTCATTCAGACCAC